GGTACACGGCAGCCAAGAGGGGAAAAAAAAAAAAAAAAAAAGGCATGTCAGACTGTGATATATTTGGACTTTAAGATTTCAAAAGGGCAGCGGCAGTTAGGAACAGAACACTGAGAAGCCATGTAAGCCGAAAAATATTCATGAACTCTGAGTATTCTTAGGAATGACAGCGTGCTGCTACCTCTGGATCATGAGTTATGGTCTAACTGCTAAACTGCTATTTGAGGCCCAAAGAACTTCTCCTTTGACATGGGGCCCACAGCAACAACGGGCTGTCACAGAATTGTAACATGCTTTGATGTCTGCACCTGCCTTAGGACTTCTGGACATAACCAAAGACTTTCAGCTGTTTGTTCACGAAAGACAATGCCTGGCACTAGGTGTGCTGACCCGGAAGATGGGACTTTTCTAAACAGCTGGACACGGTGAGTAAAGGGTGGCCAAAGTGCCTTCGAGCTGTGGCTGCAACAGTGATGCTCATACAAGAAGCTCAGAAATTAACTTTGGGAAGCACAAGAACAGTCTGTGTCCCACAGATGGTGATAACTGTTTTAGAACAGAAGGGGGGACATTGGCTATCTCTGAGCTGAATGATGAAGTACCAGGTAGTTCTGGCTGAGCAAGATGATGTGAGTCTAAAAACACCTAACCTGGTAAATCCTGCAGTGGTTTAAGTTCCACACAGGAAGAAGAGCAACTGGAGCAGGACTGCTTGGCTACTATCGAGTATGTTTATTCCAGTCGAGAAGATTTGAAGGATGTAGCATTGGAGCAACCAGACTGGGAGTTGTATACAGATGGCAGCAGCTTTATAGAACAAGGAGTTTAATATGCTGGATATGCGGTAACAACAGACACCACAGATACAGAAGCAAAGGCACTGACGAGTACTACATCAGCTTAGAAATCAGAACTCATTACTTCAATTCAAACCTTAGTTCTAAAGTGAAACGAAGAAAGTCAATATTTGGACAGACTCAAAGTAGGCTTTTGGGGTGGTACATGTCCAGGGAGCTGGGGGGGGAGGAAGTGAGATTATTATCCTCTCAGGGATCAAATATTGAGCATCAAAATTAAATTTTACGATTATTACAAGCAGTTCAAAAACCAAATCAGGTAGCAATCATGCACTGTAAAGCACACCAAATTAGGAACACAAAACAAATTGCTAGAAGTAATTTGGTCGACCGGACAGCAAGAGAATGAGTATTCCAAATGGCATTAATTCCCTCCAAAACAGTAACTCCTCATAGACCAGTAGTAGTTCCACCTTTGTTAATAAGAAAAATAATGCAGACCAAACATCAAGAAAGTCATTGGGGAGCAGAAGCTTTAGTAACTTCTTTATAAAAAAAAACAAGTTATATCTGTTAAAATGATAGACATGGCTAAATTAATAACTGCAAAATGTGACGTATGTTTGAGAAACAATCCAGTAACCAAGAAAAGAGTTCAGACAGGTAGATTAAAATCTGGTACAGAGCCTGGAAATTATTGGCAAGTAGATTTTTCAGAATTGCCTAGACAAAATGGGTACCGATACATTCTGGTGGGGGTAGATACTTTTACAGGATGGCCAGAAGCTTTTCCCTGTCGCACTGCACAAGCCAATGAAGTAGTAAGGTGGTTAATGAGAAAAATAATTCCAAGATTTGGAGTTCCTATTGGAATTTTGTCTGACAGAGGTCCACGCTTTGTTGCAAAAATAGTTCAAAATGTTAGCAAAAGTCTGGGTATCACTTGGGATTTGCATATTCCATGGAGGCCACAATCCAGTGGAAAAGTAAAAAGAATGAACCAGACTTTTAAAAGGCAAATAAGTAACATCTGTCAAGAGACAAATTTAAAACGGCCTCAAGCATTTCCATTGGCATTATTACGAATCAGAGTACAACCAAAGAGTGGAACCTCAGTCAGTCCTTATGAATTATTGCATGGGAAACCTTATGAGTCCCCAGAACCAAATGCAAACATGCATGTAAAAGGAAAACAGGATGTGTATAACTCTTTGCTTTCTTTAGGAAAAATATTAACTGCAGTTCGGAGTGCAGTGGTGTGGAATAGACCATTATCCCTGGAAACTCCAGTGCCTGACTTTCAACCAGGAGATGATGTCTATGTGAAAACGTGGAGTTCTGAACCTTTCCAGATACTGTTAACCACCTTCACAGCCATCAAGATTGCAGAATCAGAGGCTTGGATACACTATACCCGAGTGAAGAAAGCACCTACTCCATGGAAAATCATAAGCTGTGACCCAAAGACTTTGAAACTGACTTTGAAAC